CTTTCCTGGGACTCACTTGGTAGCCCAGGCTGGCCTCAAACTCACAGAGATCCGCCTGGCTCTGCCTCCCGAGTGCTGGGATTAAAGGCGTGTACCACCACCACCCGGTGGTCTAGTTCTTTAAAGAGAAGCTGAACTGGAAACAGCTGGTTCATTGGCTAAGAGCACTGGCTCTTCAGTAAGACCCTGCTCCATTCCTAGCACCCCTGGTGGCTTACAGCCATCTGTTATAAGCCTGTAACCACAGTTCAAGGACTCTGCTCTCTGGTGGCCTCTGTACACCATACACTGTATGCACAAGCTGCATTAATAAAAACCAAAATGGGTGTAAGGAGGCAAAGGGGAAGCCAGGCTCCTGTGAATAGAACTGCTGACTATATTCTTTGGTGCTTGATTTAGTGTTAGGGATGATAGTGTACAGTCCAGGGATTATGAGATTTGCAGTGGTCTTCCAGAAGGAAGATTCTAGAGCTCAGAAATTTCCATCTGTAGTGATGTTTTTCCTGCTCCAGAGCTTCTCCCATTTGGGTGTGCTTTAGTCAGCCCTACTGTAGGCAAAAACCTAAAAAGCTCCCTGAAATCCTGGAACTGACTATAAATGTGGAGTCATGTTTAGTGGAGTGATAGATTTCAAGTTGGTTAGGAGGATAGAAGGTGTGGCTCGTGAGTTGAGCTTACTGGAGAACTGAGAGTAGCAGCCAGATAAGGTAGGGTGAGGCTCCAGGAAGTTTTAAAAGCTTGGGCTAGGGATTAAAGCAGATAGTTGGGTGGGCCATTCTTAGTTATTCCGAGGACAATGACTTATTTTTTGGTGTGCCCTAATGTGAAGAAGTAGGAAGAGCCTTTTGAGCCCTCTGTGGGAGTGAAAACTGCTGTTGGTGTCCTGCACCCCCTTTGAGATAGGATTTCTTTGTAGTCCACGCTGTCCTGGAACTCACTTTAGACCAGGCTGGCCTCAACTCACAGGCCTCCCACTGCCCAGTTTATTCAGTGTCTTTCTTTAATGCAGTAAGATAAAGTGTAAGGCATAGTGTGGTAGGAGAATAGCATGCATCTTCCCGCCCCCTTTGGAGACAGCATCTCACTGCTGTCCTGACAGGGGAGCTCCTCTGTAGAACCTGCTAGTTTCAAACTTGAAGACTTCTGCCTGCTTCTGCCTCCAAGGTAGCTGCAATTAAAGGCATGTGCCATGCCTAGCTTGATTTTACTTTTATGGTTTTTCCCAGACAGGGTTTCTGTGTGGTTTTGGTGGCTGTCCTGGAACTCACTCTGTAGACCAGGCTGGCCTTAAACTCACAGAGATCCACCTGGCTCTGTCTTCCTAGTGCTGGGATTAAAAGCTTGTGTCACCGCCTCCTGGCTTTTTTTTTTTTTTAATGGGAGTGTGTCAGGATTGTCTTTAGAAGCATACACTATTAAGTAGAAGCATTTATGTCTCCTTCAACCTTTTCAGGCATAAAAGGGAGTCTGACTGGGTCCTGGTCGATTTAGATGTGAAGCTGATCTCAACAGACCAATGCTTAGAGAGTAGGGTGGCAGGCAGTATGGCTTCCAACACAGCCTGGAGGTTGGTTTGCCGTCCTGTTAGGGTATTTGAGTAGGATGAATATCTTCTGTAAAAAGAGAAGAGTTTTAAAAAGCTTAGTATTTTCAGCCCTTGGGAATTCTGACCTTGCCCAGTATGGCTAGCTTCTCCAGTTAACCTGTTGGCATCCCTAAACTTTTGGTTTGCTGTGGCTGGAGTAGATAGAGGTCTTTGCAGCATCCCGACCGTGAGCTGTCCCACAGGACTTGACCCAGTGTCCTCTTGGCTTTTAGTGTGAAATCAAGGTTGCCCAGCCCAAAGAGGTGTATCAGCAACAGCAGTATGGCTCTGGGGGCCGAGGAAACCGCAATCGAGGGAACCGAGGCAGTGGTGGAGGTGGAGGTAAGTGGAAGCTGGATGAAGACTTTCCCTGCCTGCAAGGAGCTTTCTGTGCCTATCTTGGGATTGCCTCTTGGTGTTCTGTGTAGTAGGGGTGGGCGGGCCGGGTGTGAAGTGGGTACAGCTCAGGGATAGGAGTGGTTTTCCTGGGTGGAGGCTGTGTGCTTGTGCTGCTATGGCTCATGGCTCCATGGAATGAAAGAGCCTTCTCTTTCTCATTGTGCAGCTTGGGGGCCCCAGGCCAAGGGGGCATTTACATTGCACTGGGAGAATGATGGGGGCACAGTGGATTGTGCTTAGCTTTGTGGCTGTCCTGAGTCTTGGTACACACATACCTGTGGGCAGAAAGGCAAAGCTGTGCCAGGCGCTTAGCTCCTTCCATCCCAGGCCCCTCTAACTCCAAAGCCTGAACTGCATCTTTTTCAAGGCAAAGCTGCCAAGGGAGGGTGGAGGTGATCAGAGGGTGATTTTTGAGTGTGAGTAAGCTTCCTATACTCCCAAGTGAAGTTACTGGCCTCCTGGACTGCAAGGCTGGGCCTAGGGCCCTCTATACCAGAACAGTAGCCTCTTGGCTTCAACTTGAGTTGCCATAGTAACCCCGCCACCCAAAGGGCAGGATTTCCTCCATCCTAGCTCCTGCGTGTGCTAAATGGTCCATGGGCCCCTGTGCCCTGCTCCCCCCCACAGGTCAGAGTCAGAGTTGGAATCAGGGCTACGGCAACTACTGGAACCAGGGCTACGGCTACCAGCAGGGCTACGGGCCCGGCTATGGCGGCTACGACTACTCGCCCTATGGCTATTACGGCTACGGCCCCGGCTACGACTACAGTAAGTAGGAGAGGGAGGCCCCATCTACTTCCTCCTAGGGGAGGCAGGTCAGATAGTGCAGGGGCCGTGCAGCAGGGGCTTTGGAGTCAGACAGGCCTGGTTCAGGCACTGGAGTTTCCCCATGGAGCTCTACTCTAGTTCCTTGTGGTAAAGTGTGAGAAGCTGGTGTTGCTGTGCAGAGGTTACATTGTACATTGAGGATGTGGTAAGCGCCTGGCACGGGGTAAATGTACAGTTAAGTAGTAGCCACAACATTGTTCTTATTTCTAGGTCAGGGTAGTACAAATTACGGGAAGAGCCAGCGACGTGGTGGCCATCAGAATAACTACAAGCCATACTGAGAGGCAGCAGGAGCGGCCGACTGACGACCGCACACGCTTTGTTTGGACGCGGAGTGAACACAATTATGTACCAAATTTAACTTGGCAAACTTTTATGGCCTGTCCCATGTGCATCTTATTTAAAATTTCCCCCGGAAATCACTCTCCTGTTTACTATTCCAGAGCTCTAGTTGTAGGCAGCGTGTGGCGTCTCAGAGGCCAGAGCGGCTTTAGGGGGCTGATTTTATTATTACCAGGTTACCTTGTACTAGATTGGAGGGTCTGCTTCCTGTTGCTGCTCTGCAGCCTGGACCTGTGGACCCTGGTTGTAAAGAGTAAACTGTATCTTAGGAAACCAGTGTCACCTTTTTCACCTTTTAATTTTATATTATTTGTGTCATACATTTCCAGTAATGGAAGTGTTAATTTTACTGTACTTTTTGGTACCTTTTGGGAATCTAATGTATTGTAAGGTATTTTACACGTGTCCTGATTTTGCCACGACCTGGATATTGAAGCTATCCAAGCTTTTGAAATAAAAATTAAAAAACCCCCACGCCTGGGTGAGTGTGGGATGCTCTGTGAGACCTTGCCCAGTGTTGGAGGTGCCAAATACTCCTGGGACTAGGGTCTCCTGTAGCAGGGGTCCTTCAGCTGTTTTCCTCCCTGACCTTTTCAGTCACCATTTTGTTCCTGTAGCCTCCATATCTAGAGAATGTTTTATCACATATGCTCCAAATCCTTAGATTTTATCCCATTATCCAGCAAATGCAAGTTGTAGCATTGGGTGTAGCCTGGTGGAGGTGGGAATAAACAAGTCCCACTTACCTGGAGGGTGCTTGACCGAGTTTGGCTGGATCCTCAGTGTTTTGCAACTTCTTACTTTTTCTTCCATGTCTAGAAAAAAGACCCACAGATGACCACCGATCTACCCTACATGATTCCCCATTCTCTACCTTCAGTTTCTAGAGTGCTTGGGGTGATAAGAGATTGGGTCCACCTGTCTATACAGGATTTTGTCCCACCATTTCCCTAACACAGATGGTCCCATGTGTGAGCCCAGAGCAGTTCTTTTAGTTAAGTCTCTAATCATTGATGTTCTATACACAAAGAACCCTTAGAGCTGTGCCAGTTTGGAACATCCACTAGGAATTGGGCTTCACTGGTTAACACTTAAGTACTGGTTTTTTGTCTGCTGAGATCTGAGCTTTGTATAACAACCACCTTGGTATAGAGTCATTTACAGTTTGGTAGTTTCCTTACATAAATTGAGGGAGACCTTGGACAGCTCTTGACCTTAGTGATTTAGAGGTTATGAGGAGCATTTCATTGCAGTCAGCCATTCATTTTAGACCCTCAGCAATTCAGGGTGCCCCTAGCTTGACAGTATTTAGGGCATGCAAAAGCATGGATTTTTCCTGGAACTCGAGAGTGGGCAGGGATTAAAGGTAGGCACCACCCACTGCTGCCCAGCCTAATGTGAGGACCTTCTCCCAGGATTATCTTGAACATCATCTTGTCCTGTTCACCTACCAAATACTGGGATCACAGGTGGTTGCCACCATGCCCATCCTGCTAGTTCAAAGACTGGTTATTTTCATGTCCAGCCTAAATTCCACATTGATGCTGCCTTTTAGTGCATGTAGGTAATGGTTACAAAAGCCATGTTTTTGAGCTTTCTGACATAGGTGCATGCGGGGAGGCTCTAGCTACTGGTCTATATTTGTGGTGTTGAGGATCAAACCTAGGGCCTGATCCACGTTATCTAGATAGGGGTTCTATCAAGTGTACCGGTTAGAATGTCATCCAGCTTTGCTACTACATGTTGTGCATTGTCCAGGCTGAAGCACATTGGAGGCTTGAACTTCAGGACGTTCCTCCCAGGGCCATCAGTGCTCAGGAAAATGTAGTTCTCCTTCAGCCTGTAAGAACAAGACACTTTACAGCCTTCATTCTTGGTCCTGTAACTACCTGAAGATAAAAGTGGGATGAATTAATTGGTCCCCACCCAAGGTACACTGTCCATTGTGCTGAGTCTGACACTGTTATGTAGCTCTGGTTGTTCTGGAACTTGTGTAAGACCAGGCTGGCCTCCAGCTCAGAGTAAGCCTCTTCTTCCTGAGTGCTGGATTAAAGGTGTGCTCCACCTTTTAGTTCCACAAGGTTTTACTAAGTTGCTCAGGCTATTCTTGAATTCACCTTGTGGACCAGGTCTTAAAGGCTCTGATTATAATCCAGTTACCATATCACCATGTCTGCCCAGCTCATTACCTCTACCTAGTCCAGGTGCTGGTGGCTTGAGAGGTACAAAATGATTACAGTCTTTTTGATTCTCCAGTCTTTGTCCCAGAAAGAAAAAAGTGGGGTCAGACCCAGGGCAAAACCCAGCCCTGCTTGGGGTGACTACAATTAAGAACACTAACCTGGGTCCTGGCTTTTATATCACCTGAATTTACAATCCCCGATTCCCACTGGAGTGGATATGCTGGCTGAGGCCAGTTACTATTGTATAGGTAGGTGCACACATTTTACAATGTGAATAAAGGCACATTCAAACCCAGGGTTTTTCATGGTTGGAGTAGGTCTGGTAGAAGGGGGGGGGGGTGTCTCAGATTGGTTGCTACATGCTTTCAGCCAAGGATTAGGGCCTAGACAGCTGGAGAGGCTTAATTGCTTGAGGCTAAACGGACCCACAGTGTTTCCTATTTGGGGAAGGCAATTTAGGAGGAAATACCTGGAGACCAAGTATTCTGCCTCTTCAGTTGCTGGTGTCCTCAAGGTCTCATCTTTGATCAGATCCACACCGATAAAGAGCCCAGTGCCCCTGAAGGAGGTGACATCTTTACAGTCATGGTCCTTGCCTCCCTCTGCCCTGGCTTCAGCCACCCCCTTCACCCTGGAGAGTGATCCTGGTGTGGGCTGAAGAAAGGCTGGGGGATCTTCAGAATCCCAGTTCCTTCTAGAGAGTGGATGTAGACATTTTTATCCCAAGGTATGAAAATGGAACAGTGCTGAACCCCTAGCAGGTATTTGGTTAGTCATGTCTGTAGCGTCCAGAACCTTACCTGACATCCCCAATAATAGGATGCTTGGCTTTCTGCTGGCTGAGGTGCTCCATTAGGAAACTGCCCACATTACTGGCATGAGCCTGGAGCTGTTCTGTTTCCAAGACATCCAGGACTGCCAGCCCCACAGCACAGGACACTGGGTTGCCTCCAAACTGAACCAGGGGACAGCAATGTCAGATGCTCTGCCAAATGGACCACGATACCATGGAATTGCCACAAAAAGACAATTGGGAAGACTATAGGCCCAAAACCTTTACACTTGGGGCTGTCCTCTTCATAAACTGGTCTCTCCTGGGGGTCTTCAACCCAGGTTAGGTATAAGGTAAGCAAGAGAACTGGTCCAGCCCCTCCCCTGGCCTCTGGGCACCATGCATGCACATGGTACACAAAGATGCACAAATCTTTTGAAAAGCCAAACAAGCAGAAATGGGGATTGGCTCAGTTAAAAGTTCCTGCCTAAGCAGGGCAGTGGTGATGCACACTAATTCCAGCACTTGAGAGGCAGAGGTAGGTGGATCTCTTAAGTTTGAGGTCAGCCTGGTCCAGCTAGTTCCAGCATAGCCAAAGTTACACAGAGAAACTCTGTCTTGAAAAAGTTCCTGGCAAACTGGAAACCTTGGTTTCAGTCTTGAGCACTGAAAAATCGGGTGGTGGCGTATGTCTGTAATCAATGAGTTAGAGGAAGGAGAATCAGGTCCTCTTCAACTACATATGGAGTTAAAGGCCAGCTTGGGCTCACTGAGACCCTTTCTCCAAAAAATAAAATCTGTTGTAACTGGGGAGATGAATAGTAGCTAAGACCACTTGCCACCGTAAACATGAGGACGTGAATCCCCAGCATTGATGTAAAAGGCTGGGCAGAACTGCATGTGTCTAATCCTAGTAGAGGTGAGAGGGTGGAGGCAGGTGGTTGGCAGGAGGGAAACACTGAGCTTTCATATTCAATAAGAAACTTTCCAAATAAGAGAAAGCCTTAGAAGACAACAGCCTCTTCTGGCATTCACATGTGCATACATACCACCCAGTGAAAAACAAGACGGATTGTAAGGTAAAGTGCCTGCAGAGATCGATGATGCAGAGCCTGGGGAAAGGTGAGGGAGAGGACCCACTCCACAGTGTGGCCCTCCGACTGGTATGTGTTCTGGGGACACATGCAGCACCCCTCACATACAACACGTCTATGCAAAGTAACAAACCACAAAAGTCATAAACTCATCCCACCTGCAGGCTGAGGTGTTTGTTTGAGCCCAGGAGTTTGAAGATAGCTTCAACAGTGTGATACCCACCTCTAGTGCCAAAAAACAAACAAAACCAGAGCCTCAAACCAGTGGAAACAAGCCAACTTTCAAAAAAAAAAAAAAAATGTGACTTTACAAGACAGAGGTACAATATTTGAAAAAGCTACAAGAGTCTGATAGCTTAGAATGGATTGTATTTGTCTTTCAAGTTGTATGCTGAAATCATACTCTCATTATGATGGTATTAAGTAGGACTTGGCTGGGTGGTAGTGCCTCATGCCTTTAACCCCAGAACTTAGGCAGAGGCCAGCCTGGTCTACAGAGTGAGTTCCAGGACAGCCATGGCTACTCAGAAACCCTGTCCTGGTGGGGAAAAAAGGACTGGTGGCCAACACCTTTATGTCAGTAACACCCAGGAAGCAAAAGCAGGTGGATCTCCTGAGTTTGAGGCCAGCCTGGTCTACATATTCCTGGCCAACCAGGGCTGTGTCGTGAGACCATTTTCAAAAATGTGTGTGCAGGTGCATGTCCACATGGGTACAGAGGTCAACCTAACCTTGGATGTGGTGGATGTTCTTCGGAGACATCCATCTTGTTTTTTGGAAATCTCTCATTAGGCTCTGGAACAGACCAATTAGACTCTCCTGGCTGTCCAGCAAGCCCAGGAATCCAGTCTCTGCCCCCTAGCTCTGATGTTACAGGCCTGTGCCACTAAGCCTAGTCTTTTATGTAGGTTCTGGAGATTGGACTCGGGCCTCATGTTTGCAGGGCAAACTATATTATGGACTTATCCATAATATTCCATATTATGGAATTACTTGTCAGGTCCTTATTTTTTTTTTATATATATTTTTTTTTTAATTGTGTGGGAGGAGGACAAGACACAACCTAAGGGATATAGCTTAGTGGCAAAGTATTTGGCCTCGAGCACTGACCTGATGTATAAAGATGTCTTTTTTTGTGGTGCTGGGATCAAACCAAGGGCCTTGTACCTGCTAAACATGTGCTTTACCACGAGCTACACTTCCAGCCCACAAACATCACTGTAGACAGATAAATATAAACATTCTCATATACTGGGCAAAATGCTTAATGCCCTATATGTATTCAACTGTATTGCAAGTCTTTCTCACCCAGGATGATTATGATAATATTATTATTATTACTGGTTTTTTGAGTCAGTGTTTTTTCTGTGAAACAGTCCTGGCTGTCCTGGAACTTTAGACCAGGCTGGCCTCTGCCTCCTGAGT